ACTGTATTAGATCTACTTTGAATTTTGACAAGCTTTATCCACTTGAAAGTGGAAGCTCTGACCCTAAAAAGAAAAAAAAGAAAATAAGTTTTTCAGTGCATTAAAGAGAGGGCTTAAATGCATATTAACTTGTGAAAGAAAAGGATCATTTGACTCCGTGATTTCTGTGATTTAGAAATTCAAAATAAGGTGCTCAAGGCTTTAGGGTAAATTGGTTTTTAGTCTGAAAGACAATTATTTATATAATCTCTGTGTGTGCACTAAATAAACACCAGCCCAGCACACACATGCATGCACACACACACATACCCCTACCTGCTATTAAAGACTATGTTTGTAAGCGAGGATGCTGAAATGATGAAGTCTGGATAGCACAGCTAATGAAGGGCTGACTGACATTTATCTTAAAGGTCTTAAGAGATCTGCATTTTTTACCCACAGGTTTCTCTTACAGGGCACCTATCTCAGCAGACTATCACAGCAGACAACCAGAAGACTTCACATAGGACCATTGTGAACATGCCTCCTCCACTGAGAAAAAAAAAAAAAAAGAAAAGAAAAGAAAAAGTAATACTTTAAGCTTCCAATTCATTATGTACCTTTTCATGGCAGCACTGGATATACTTTTAAAAATAAACTGTGGAGAAGCAGGCAATGTAGACTAATAAATAGAAACCACGAAGAATTATTAGTACAACTGCTTCCATGAATTAAAAATTAGTTAAGAAAAGATTACAGCCCCCATTTTAAACACACAACACTACTATTGAAGTATGCATTAAGGAAGCCTCAGTAGTTTGCTTTAAATAATTAGCTCACATTCCTACGACCAAGATCAAACAATGATAATCTTATCAATTATCTTGCACCAGGATTCTTGCAACTGGGTTGGTTCAATATGATCGAGAGTACTTGCCAGTCTATACCCTATTATGTGTTAAAATCTGGGGAAACTTGTATTAACTCTGCAATAACATAGAAGCCATCAAAACATGTTTCATAGTTTTATTGAGTTTCAGTTTTAATTGTCAACGGTAAGTACAATTATAGTGACCACAATTATGAAGTTCTGCTGGCACTATAAATAGCAGATACAAAGTGGGCTGCCATGCCTTAGTCACAGACACACACACACACTCTCACACAAACATACAATATTCTGCATACTCCAGCGAGCAACAACACTATGCTAGTATCGGAAAGTACTTTCTTTTTATTAAAACACAATTATGCACAATTAGTCTACATTTTGTTATTCTACCGCTGATTTAGATAGACCTGAGAAAACTCAAAATGTCAAGTAACACTGTTTCCACACCACTCATTCAATGGCACGATCACTCACAAAATCTAGTTCAATTATCTATATTAAAATTACAGATAATATAAAAATAAACCTTTTTTTTTTTGCAAAAGCACTAAGACATACTATAATTCAAATTCACAAATTTTGATATGTAACATATATTCACCTTCATATTAATTTGTGATGCTATCTATAATACAATGTACAACAGAATAAAAAACTGTAACAGAGTTCAGCAGCCAAAAGAAATACAGTTATCACTACAAAACTTGTAATTAAAGTTAGCAATTGAACGAAGAAAACAGATCGAAATCAACAGCAGTGTTGAACTTGCTGGTAGTGTGTTACAAAAAAACTCTTATCTCAAAAAAATTAAGATTATACTATTTCATCTCAAGAAAAAACACAAAGCAGACATTTAAGTAAAACCGAGTAGCAGTAACTGATTGTACCAGCTGCCTTTTCCTCTCCTCATCTCCCTGAAGTTTTTCCTTCAATTCTAATGCTGAATCTTTAATGCCCATCCCACTACAGGTCTAAAAATCAGACCTCAACTCTGAATGAAAGAGAAGCCTTTTGCATTTAATAAGGGAAGCTTTGCATTTAGAGGCAAAATTCTAAACTTCCTGAAAAGACATACAAACCTTTCTATAATATTTATAAAATGTGGACAATAAAGACCCCAAATCGCTAACACATTTTATAGTCACTATAATCTTATGATAGTCTGACACTAAATTGTGTCTAGGCAGAAAAAAACCCTACCTAAAAAGGTAAACATGCAAAATTATTTCTAGGGAAACGCATCACTCATATCACAAAACATTTTCAGGTTTTAAACCAAAAATATCTGAAGATTTAAATATTTTAAGATACTGATATTTGGAAAGCACAGTCATATACAACTCTGATTTCATCTATGCATCATATATTATGCAAAATACACCAGTTTAAAACATTAATTTGTACACTGTAATAAATAGAATTTACATCAGTTTGTTGGATCTTTCAAGCAAGTTTTTTAATCTGTACAACTAAAGGACTATACGTTTCATCAATAAATACAATTATGACGGTTATAATTTGACCAGCAAAGTTAAAGCTTCAACACACCCTAACTAGTATCACATCTTAAAAGTACTGTCCCTAAGGGAATTCCAGCTGCAATAAGCAAGCATGAACATCTATAGTATCCAAAGACAGTTTAGGGTCCTGTCTAAACACATTCAGATGATTTACAGCTCAACATCACAATCGGTGAACTTCGCAGAAATTTTTAGCCAAGGACTGGATTGAAGAGTCCTGGAAAACACAGCAGCAGATTTTACACACTCCGTCTGTCTAGTTTTCATGTGTCATCACATCCCCTAGGCAGCAACAAATGGATGTCATCCAACCTTTCTAAACGTGATGAGTGGTCCGGAAAGGGTTGAGTGTCTCACAGCTGCCTTAGTGGCAACATCAGAATTTTAACTCTACACCCTGACTTGGGTGCTGTATTTTTTCTTTTGTCTTTTATTATTTCAGCATAAGCTAAAAAGGTGTTCAATGAATTAAAGATGCCCATGTGGAAGCAACAGCCTGAACTTGGTATTAAACTATTTCTGCAGTGTGAAATTAATTTAATTATTAGGTTCTATAATCTTAGCTACGCTGGTATCTAAACACCAACAGCTTTCTGACTTTATTATTAAAATACTTCTATTACCATGTCATATGGTAATAGAAGTATTACATTTTTTCAGCCAACAGATCCCTGCTTCATTCTGACCCTCTGTATGTTTTCCCCATTAGCACAGATCTTCCCAGAGACTTCGTTTGGATGGGAAGGAGGTGGCAAGATCATTCTTGTTACTACTTGGCATGCATTCACATGTCTTTAATGTCCACGATGTGATGTAGGTAAAGAGGAACCACTTTGGAAGAAACATGCCAAGTAGTAAAAGAAGGATGTGCCTAATCACCGTGCTCCTTCTCAGTGGATCCATACTACCCGAGAAAGTTCTCTAGATGCTGAAACAATGTATTTAAGACATAATCTAAGTCAGGCTGGGCATTCTGAGACCTAAAAGAAAAAAACAAACAAACTAAAGTAAATGGTGAAGAAATACAGAAATGTGTTCCTTTAGCCTATTAATCTGATTCCTAGGCTCTGCAATTTCCATCTTGTTTAGTTTAATGATATTGATCTTCTCACACTGATTATGACTGACAGGCTCAATACAATAATGACATATTTCAGATTTTGTATTTCATGATTTTAAAATAGACAGTATGAGTGAGCCTGACTAAATGAGAACTTTTTTAACTCTCTCCTCTGAATGAAGAGATACAGTAAGTTTATTCTCAATAATTTGGGTTCTATAATCCTATGCATTAAGAGCACTGTTTCAGAGGCTAAACACAGACTTGCTCTATGGAGCTTAGTGGGTGCAGACTGGTAAACTGAAGCTCCTCTGAAGTTCTCACAAATCTTCAGTCTAGCCATGCATTACAAAAACCGAAATCAAGCCCTGAATTTCCTATCATTAAGTTCTGCAGGGTTCTTTCTTTCCTGAACACACAGTACCCCTATTACTTTGTTATACAGTGATTGCAAACAAGTTATTCCACCATCAGCTGCAAACTCTGATGATAATTGTATGTGGGCTTGCTTTCAAAATTAAAAATCCTTTGACACCAGACTTATCTGTTTGGGGTTATTAATTGCATTACCCGATCTCATTACTCTCATTATATAGAAAGTGACCACTGAAGGGCTAGAAATGCAGCCATTCAATAGTCAGTGAAAATGATTATTACAGTTGTTAAAGCATTTTACAAGCTTTTCACTAACTGGGAGAGAACAACCATAAAAGAACACACTCCAGTCGTCTTCTCTTCTAGGTGCCTGAATATAATTCTCCATATTTTTCTTTCCAAATATTTTTTCTTTAAATACTAAGATGTATGATTCATTAAAACCTCATAGCATCCTATTCTATCAATGCAATCCATATAAACTCTGACCACTTCTTTTCATGTTGCTTTAAGGACCTTCTCTACCAGGCTTTTCATTTAAACTAAAGTCCTTTTTCTAAAATGTCTTCTGCCCAACCCCAGCTGCCACATCCATCTGAGAGTACACCTGCAGGTCATCTGTTGCGGATGACTGTCCACCATGCTTTTTCTGAAATACTGTCCTACTCAACATCCTTCAACTGCTAACTGCTTCATCCTTGCTAACTGCTGTTCAACTTTACTCGAGTTTTGGTCTGCAATCTATCTGTGATTTTTAAATTGTTTTTACAGATGTGAATGAGCACTTTGTCCTGGAACACAAACACAGTCCTGCAGGCATTGCACAGCAGTGGTGCAAGTAAATACTCTTCATCACGGGAAGTCTAAGGAAGTCCATGGTGTTTACAAGGAAAATACATGTACTTTAATGATTTGGAATGCATTTTACCAGTAAGAGAGAATTTGCAGGCTTCCATATCAAACATTTTAGCACCCAACGTATAATGAGCAGTTTGCCAGAAATAACTGGAAAACAATCTTTTCTCAGGTTTTAAAATTCATTGACTTTGCTTTTCTACCAAATTCTCTGAAGAAACTCTATCAACTATCACCAAAAGACATCCACTCCGAGATCTGTTCCTCTGATATTAAATGGACTGCGTTTAGTATTCTGCTATTCTATGCTAAGTATTTTTGTGGATGTAAATGTTTTATTTCTTCCTGCCATGGATTGTTAAAAACAAGAAGGGTTAGACAAATCAGAAACTCAAATTTCAGGTGGCTAGTATTCTTAAGAAGTTACTAACATCAAAATAGCCCTGGTACTTACATGCACACACCCTTTAAACAGAAAAGCTTGTCATTTTAAAGGCGTAAGAGAAAGTAAATATTTAACTAAATAGTATTGTTTTACTACACATACTTATAGTCAAAAAGAAAGGAGGCTTTGAAAGCAAACCCGAACAGGCTAAATGTGGATGTGGGCATCTCTACTTTACTATTATTTTTTTTTAACTCACTATTGTCTTGGTTTGATTTTTCTCTAAACTTACTAGAAACTGAAAGGGGCAAGGGTGGGGGAGAAGCACTTGGCTTTGTTAAGCGTCCTACCATGTTACAAAAGTGAGAGGTTTGGGGCTCCCTGTGCCTTCTTCACAAGCTTGTATCTCCATTCTGTTTGAACTCAGATAAAATGTTGAGGGTCATGTCTTCACTTTTGGATTGCAAATTAGCCTCACTTCTTCTGGAAGCTTTCCTGGTGGCCCGTGAAAGTCTCCTCCTGAAAGTATCTCCTGCCAAGAAATAGAGAATGGGGTCCACACAGCTGTTGAGACTCGCTAGACCTCTTGTCACCTGATAAGTGGCATAAACCCTGTCATTGAAAGCACACATTGCTGGGGTCTGAAAGTCCAGCCGGGCCCTCAAGTTCATTGTTTTCATCACATGGAAAGGGATGTAAGACACACCGAAGACCGTCAGTACAATGATGACCAGGTAAATCGATTTCCTCCTCAGAGGAGAGTTGTCCAGGTCTTTGTAAATCAAAGCTCTCACAATTAATCCATAACAGCCCAGAATCAGCACCAAGGGTACACAGAACATGGCCACCGTGGTGCAGAGGCTGTAGATGAAGTAACTTCGCAGGTACTCGTCTGAGGTGGTGTCATAGCAAGTGACGGTTTTATTCTTGCGGACCCCGGTCCCCGAGTAGAAGAGGATGGGGGAGATGGCCGCCACCACGACGAGCCACACCAGCACGCTGATGTAGATCGCGTTTTTCTTCTTGAGCCTGCCCAGGGACTTGAGCGGATACACCACGCCGCTGTAGCGGTGCGCGCTAATGCACGTCAGGAACAAGATGCTGCCGTAGAGGTTCACGTGGAAGATGAACCGCTGCAGTTTGCACATGGCATCCCCGAAGATCCAGTCCGTCTTGTTGAAGTAGTAGAAGATGAGGGCCGGCAGGGTCAGCACGTACAGGAAGTCGGCCAGAGCCAAGTTGAACATGTACACGGAGATGCCGCTCCAGGGCTTCATGTGGAAGAGGAACATCCAGATGGCCACGCTGTTGCCCAGGAAGCCTATGATGAACACCAAGATGTAGACGGTCGGCAGGTAGTAGAACTGGAAGCCCGTCTTGGTCAAGGCGCATCTGAACGAGGCAGCGACAGCGGCCGTGGAGGCGACCGTGCTGTTCCCCCAAGACGAACCCGGGCTGGCCAAGAAAGCAGCGTCCGTCCCGTTGGGGACTGCCGGCCACAGCACCTCGGTCATCCTCTCCTCCCCGGCTTAGGCGGCGGCTCCGCGGGGTTAGCTGCGGCGAGAGGGCGACGGCGGCAAGGGGCTCAGCGAGCATCGGAAAACCCGGCGAGAGGCAGGGAGCGGGCGCGGGGGATCCCCGCGGGAGGGGGCGCGCCGGGACTCGCCCACGCCGCCTCCAGTCCCGTGTGCGCCTCGGGCCATGAAATCCGCCCCCGGCCGCGACCACACTGGGCAGGCGGGCAGGCCGGCCACTTCCCCGTCCGGCTGGCAGCGGCGAGGTTACACAACAGGGCGTGCAGGGCACCACCACCGATAACTTTCCGAGTGCGCTTTCGCTCAGGGCCGCGGGTCCGCGCTGCGGAGCGCGCCGCAGGCGCAGCGAGGTCAAGCCAAACTCGCTCCGCTGAGCTCCGGCGTGGGGAGGGCTCTGCCCAGCCTCCTTCCCCCAAAGAGCAACTTCATTGGGACATCTTCCTTCTCCCTACCTTAGAAACAAGCGGCTCGGTTTCTGGGCGCCCCTCCGCTTCCTCAGCCCACCCTGCGCTCAGCGCTGGGGGCCATCCGCGCGCGCGTGGCCGCAGACCCGTGCGCTTCCGAGCCGCGTACTTTTCGTCGTCTGCTCAGCTCTGGGCTCTTCCGAAGCCGCGATCGGTCCCGAATACTGAGAGCAGGCGGGAGAGCGGGGCCCCCCACGAGGGTGGGCGGAGTCTGGGCGCTGAGCGAGTCCGCGCTCCGCCGGGAAGGGAAAGGCGTGCCGCAGCCGAGCCCGCCCGGGACCCAGCCGGCACCCGCCAGAACACCGCGGGGAACCCGAGGCGTCTTCTGGAGAGCCGGGCTTCCCCGCGGCCCGGTGCGCTCAGCCCCTGCCAGGCTGCGGCCGCCGGAGTCGGAGGCGAGGGTGAAGGGTGCGCTCAGTCAGAGGTCGCTGCTGGCAAGCGATTGGCCGGAGAGCGCTCCTTCGCTCTTCCGCCGGCTATCTCGGCAAAGTGAAGTTGCTGACACACAGGAAACCCTTCTGAGCGCTCTGCCTTCAGCTCCAGAACCTACCAGAGCGTGGCAGAAGTCTCCGCGGCCCCCCAATAACTACGCCAGGTGTTTGCAGGCTCCAGGCAGCCAGCAGTCACCAGGTGGGAACGGCCTGGTGTTGAAAAGCGCCTTCTTTCTCCGGCCCGGATTCTTGGCACATGCAGGAACCTGCTATTCTAAGAGGGCGCGAGCCTCCGAAAGAGTGCGTGTGTATATGTGTGTGTGTGTATGTGTGTGTGCGCGCGCGCGCGTGTGCGTGTTGGGGGGGGGGAAGGAAGTCTCTTTCTGCTCTTATTTTTTCTCCCTTTTTATTCCAATACTGATTTTTCTTTTAAATTAACAAAACGCTAAAAAGCGATACCATTCGTAACAAAAACGTGAGAATTTCCAGGCGGGCTTTGTAAAAAATATTACTAGATACTGCACGTTGTTCCAACACAAATTTGTCTGGATAGATACATGAGACCAGCAAAACAAGCTCCCTAAATCCTCTTGTCTCCTGCATTTAATTAAAGATTAGAGGCGGGCAATAGAAAAAAAAATTCCAAATCAATCCTTTTGGAAATAATTTGAATCTTAACAGATTAATATTGATAGACTTAAAAGACAATTGTAACTCCAAAGTGACTTAGATACGTTTTGGGGAAATTTTATTACCAGTCCTTTTTTTTTTTTTTTTTTAGTTAAGTGATTACTTACAATTCTATATCTTAATAATACAGACATTGATTGAAAAACTCATTTTCTTCCCCTGAATGCCAAACTTTTAAGCCAATGCACTTCAAAAAATGTATTTTCAGTAAATTTAAAAATTGAATGGGTTATTAGCTGTTCAGAGAGTTAAATGGGCCCACCCAGGCCTGGAATCTAGCACTTCTTGACAAGTTAACTAATTAATAATATATTTTTATGTGTATTTTACAAAGGCTTTCTCTTTGAGGACAAAAATATCTGAAAAGGACAGAAAATGTCTGTAAAATATATACAATAAAGATTTCTTTCTGGTCCCAAATGTTACATGATAGTGTTCCCTTAAAAAATACTGAGAGGAAAACCACAAGCTCCTGGCTGTGACCCCAACAGAAAATACGGCATAAGATCCCAACAGTTGTTTAGGGGAACACACATAGAAAGGGCTATCTGCGAGCACGTAGTATGAATACACTGGTATTTTGAGTTGTGGTCATTGGAACGGCATGAAAATAAATGATAAAATGAGAGGAAATAATTCGCGTAAAAGGCACGAATATGGCTGTCTTCAAACGACTCGGATGATCTTTTATGTCTCCTTCCAGTTTCCACATTTTATGATTCTATAATTCTGAGCCTTAATGTGAACCATTTGTATAGTGTTTGATTAGGATAGTACTAGCTGCAATGCTAGTCTATTAAGAGAGAAGGAAGGAAAGAAAACCATTAAGAGTTCCAGGGCACTCAATTAAGTCTTAACTCCTCACCCCTTTGCATTTTTCATCTGCAACCTAAGCCATATGTAAGTTCACTCAGAAGTCTGTTGCAAACGCATTAACTCATAATGGGACTGTTTGGAAATGCACACTGGGTCCAGATACCATTAAGTACTTTCAGAAAACTGACACTTTTCCCAGGAATTTGGAGGAGATGGTTTTCCTAAGTGCACCACAGACTTTCTTTTAGCGATGTTAAAAGAAGTGAATTTTTGCAGACACCACTTTTACATTAGGCGTATTTAACTACATGGTTATTATATGTTTCGGTTATATTTAAAATCATCCTTGCATCGTGGGAGAATAAGTGACATGTATTCAGCAATCATTTGTTGATAACTTTCTATCCGTAAAACATTAAACTGGATTTAATGAAAGGAAAAATAAATTACCGTCTAAGACTCTCAAATATGTTTGTATTTATGTGTGAATATTTATTAGAAATGCCTTAAAGATAGAAGAATCTTCTGTCGTTATGTGACTTGTCTCAAATGTTCCGTGTTTGTTTTGTGTTTGAGTAATTGATTTATGCACCTGACTTCAAGAGGTTTTAAATTTAGTTAGAAATATAAAGAACATACCATTAATCATAATAATAACTTCTAACAGTAGCAGTAATAATAGGCCTTTGTGGTGTTTTCAGCATTATGCACACCTGAAAGGATTATCTTTTATAATCTTTAAAAATATGTTATGATGATAGTTGGCAACTTAATTTATAAGTGATGGAACTAAGGCACAGAGAGGTTAAATAATGCACCTGTATTCACAATAGAAACCAGAATGTAAACTTAGGCCACCTATTCCTAAGGCTCATGCAGTTAACCACCACCCTAGGATGAAAGCAAGCAAGTTTAGGGCACTGATAGGAGCATTAACTTTCAGTGGCCAGTGCAGACTGAGTTTAGAAGGAGTTACATCCAGAAGCCTTCTATTGGGAGAGTAAATACTAAGCCAGATCTTGAAGGTATTGGTAGTCAAAAAGTATTTCAGAAGCTTCCCAAATAGTCTACTTCTCCACACAGGCTTTTAAAAAATAGCCAATGATTTATATACAATCTGAGAAAGACAATTATTGGAAAGACAGACCTATTTGGGCTTTGACTTACAAAGGCTGTCCTTTTGGTGCTTACAAAGATTCTCATCACCAGGTTCAGAAAATCTTTTTTACCTTCTTTAAGTCACAGAAAATCCAACCATCATTAAGTTGGAAAAATCATTAAAAAAATTCTTCTCAAGGGCCACATACACAAAAAGAAAAAAAAAAGCTTCATGAATATAAAACATAAAATCTTCGAACTTTAAAGCAGAGAACAAGAAACATGAGAATTGACTAAATAGATTCCAAACCAGAAATGCTATGCCTATTTCTGGTAGCAGCTGGACAGACAGGAGAGCCTATGACCAGGATCGCTATTACGATAGGAGAGAATGTGACCCTGATTTAGGAAATAAGGCGGTCATTTGTGATATCCATCTAGGCAGAACCTCTGAGATGCACCTCACAGAAGTGAGGAGACCCTTTCTTTCCCCAAGAAGAAAATAGGAGAAAGAAATCGAAAATCAAGTCTAAGGAATTCCCAGCCGATGTGCCCAGGAACATAGAAGAAATGGAGAGGGCCAAGGTGGAGTGGAATTGGAAAGGCAGCTTATGAGAAAGAACGAAAGCGTTGGCCTGCACCAAGGAGGGCCCAGCTGTGCCTACAAATTATACCTGTGTCATGGATCCAGTCAGTAGGCTTCCTGAAATTTATTTCATTAAGCATCACAGCAGGGGTATAGGACACAAAATACAAGCAGCAGGGTTGTTCCAAGGTTGAAGTGAGGAAAAGAAGAGAGCAAGAGACCAGGAAAGGTAGAAGGAAGAAAAATTAGTGAAGAGAAAATAGAGAAAAGGGGAAGGGAGAGGGAGAAGAGGGTAGTGCAGGAAGGGAAACAGAGCTTGGGGGACAGAGGAAGGGAAAGCAAGGTGCCTGCACAGAAGTGGGTCAGCTCACTGGGCACAGCTTTTCCATTATTTAGGTTTAAATCTGGGTGTGTGGGGCTGGTGGTGGACAGTGGTGGGATGGCACAGGCTACACTGTCCTGTGGCCACAGCAAGGCTCCCATTGAGCGCTTGTCTGTTGACAGATCTTTGAGCTATTCTCTACCCGTGCCAAGTACCTGTAAAATCCGAGGTCCCCTAAACCTCCTTCCATCCATAGAAAGTTCCTTGCTTTTAGGAGTTGAGAAAAAGTATTCAAAAGAACTGCCTTCTTACGTTCCCTTTTTAAGCATTTACTTCTCTTATCCCCATCCACATAAAGCCATAGGCCCTAATTCTGGGTACATTGCAACAGTTTCAGAAGGCATTTTTGTTAAATGAAATAAACAAAAGGAATAAAATAAATAAAAGGAATGAAATCCTCCAGTCCTGGCTTCTAGCCTCAGTTTTTTTTTCTAATCAGCTTGCCTGATAAATATTTCCTTTCCTCTCTTTGTCTCTGACTTTTCTATTTATACAAAGGCATGTCTTAGAATGTTTACTGATAACAGATGAGAAATTCTGTATTGTATGCCAGTTCTTCTACAATCTTCTTATACCTTTAGCTTTTTAAGAAGACAAGGAAATAAATATCCATGAAGCTTGTGGTTACACAAATATCCTTTGACCCAAAGCCAAGGTCTTATACCATAATCATGAACCCACAGAGGGTTTTCATGGTAGTACAAGCAGAAACATAACTTCATTTGAGACTCACATGACATTATAACATCCATCATAAATAAAATACTGACTTTTGGTACATC